GGGTCTGGAAGGCGTTCATTTCATCTTCTTTTGCGTTCCTTCGCCCCTCTCCCTGTCTCTTCTCCTTCTCCTTTTCTGTTTCTGCCCTTTTGTCATTATTTTAGGGGTCGGCAGGTGCCCCCTTTGCCCTTATATCTACGCCTCTACTTACTCTCCAAAGCTACGGGCTAATGCCTGTCCACCATATTCATTTGCCTCTTTATCATTTCTTGACAGACTAATATAATTATAGGAAATAAATTGAAAGACGTGTTTTGTGCATGCTTTTGAATTAGCCTTTGCACGAACTCCGGGATACTTTAAGTTGAGTGAATATCAACATAATGAGAAACAAATCGCAACAGAATCGATGATCTATCAAAGGTGTTTATTACGATGAATAATGTAATTATTGACATTAAAATCAAGTTTCTGGACGCTCGCACAAGAAGGGATCGGTGGAATTTTGACATCCCCGATTGGGATATGACTCTATATAGTGATTAGTTATATGGCGCATAAGAAGTGAAAAGACTCGCTATGCCCTTAACAAGGTCATGTTGGTATATTATTCAATTAAAAAAAATACCATTTCGCACTTTCAAATTCTCATGTTCAATTTCTATATCCTATATCTGAAATAGCTCGTGAAGAAGACGCTTTTAATTATTATAAAAAGTGACTATCTACAGTTATATCCCATATGGATGAGAGGTTTTCTCCTTCCCCCCACCTCCACCTGATTTGTTTTCGTTTCCTTTTTTTTTTATAATCCTCCTTAATTTGTAAGTATCTAGGAAATGTTTATAGGAGTAGGCTTTATTGAAAAACTTGTTTAGCACAAGGGAAGTCTGCCATAAGGTCCAATACCAAAATTGAAAACAATACATTATCAGATACAAAAATGAAACTTAATGAAAATAAAAATTTAATGAAAACATCCGGTCAATGTACATTTTGACGGTCACAGTGTAATAACCTAAATATCAAGACGAGGAAAAACATGTAGTTGTCAGTTTCACTGTGCATCTTTCTTACAAATAATTTCAGAGGAATTAATAAGTATAGTAATTATACCTTTGCTTCATTACTTTACTTCTTTAGATTTTTTTTTCTTCTTTTTTCTTAATCCACGAAGTTGGATGGAAGTATAGCCTGAACCTTCATATTTCCATTTCGTGATAATGGGATCATAAATAATTATGTGAAGCCGTCTGGCGATGCGAAGGGACTTTAAGGTCAGTAAAGGCCGAAAGAAGATGCAAGAAGTGCAAAATGGAGGCCATCCTCTTCTCTGGCCATACTTACTGCCTAAAGGTTTTTATTCTAATTAAGGTCCCCAGCGAAATAGAGAGGGATATAATTGAAATGGAAATGAGACAATTTTGTAGAGCATTCGCTACGAGCGATCACCTGAGGCGGGTGCCGGTGCTATTATACAATGAGCAAGCAACTTCGTCTGGGGCCGCGTACATGGCGAAACTCCAATCAATAATCGGTAATTATTTAAATAATCTCGCCATTATGGAAAATAATTGGATCAATAATAATCTCGCAATTATGGAAGTTAATTGGATCGATAATAATCCCCCATGTATGTCAGCGTTAAAGTCGTTTCGCCCACTTCAGAATCATTAAAATCTAAATGAAATTTTAAAAAATGCAAATAAATAAGTATCAATCTATCAATTGAATCTCTTTATTGGCAAATAAAAATGATAATGATGCTTATCGACCGTTATACTATATAATATGGACTTACTGATAACCAGATAACTGCTGTATAACTCTGAACCACTTTTTTCTCTCCACATCTACGGAGTACGGGAAGTTGTTTTTATTTTTATTTTTGCGTTTTGTACTATTCAACGAAAGTCTTTAAATCGCCTTTATTATTGAAAACTTATTCTTGTTGTTTGCCAGAATATCTTTTTTTTTAAATAGGCCTACATGGATATAACTTGGCACTTTCTATTATAAGTTCAGTCTTTAATTATATTGTGTACATGTATGTACTTATTCTAGGTCAACAGGGCTATTGTGGAAAGCAGTTTTATAACTACCCGGTCCAAATAAAACTACAAATAAATATATGATATTATGGAATAGATTTGTGTTAGATTACATATTCCATTACAACTGACAATGTACACCTTTTTGTTACAGCGAGTTGGCCTCTGATATCCATTCATTATGCAAAGACGGGTAATGCGGGAGGGGGAGGGAGATCAGTAAAAGAAAGCCACTGAAGAATAACAAATTGAGATGATTAATCTTGTTTACTGGACAAAGAAGTATTTTTCATGAAAAGTATATCTTCGTTGTATCCCTCAGCGAGGGGGTGATACTACTAAATCAGTTTATGATTTATGATTATGGAAATAGGATCAGTGTTCAACGAGAGAAAGAGAAAGGAGAATCAAAATCTTCGAAAGCAATAATAGATAGAACTAGGTACCATCATGACCCGTTCATTATGCATGGATAATTTAAAGGGGGAGAGAAAGAGAGGAAGAAAGAGATTATCAAGATGAGGTAACCAGGAACAACAAAACAGAGGTGATTTATTGCCGAAAACGAATTATTCGAGAAATAATAGTTTTGTTACTTAATGGCCAATTTTTTTTCCCCTCCAATCCATGCAGCATTATAACGTGATTTATTTGTAGACTGGGAGGAGAGAGAGAGAGAGAGAGAGAGAGAGAGAGAGAGAGTAAAAGGGGAAATAAAGAGAGGGGTGGTGTACTGGTGAATGAAGAATTTGTATACAAAATGTATAAGAGCAACATTTTTGTTTCAAACTCACATTCAGTAGGCAATTCTATACCGGAATTACTCTCTTTAAAAAGAATCGAGTGATCCATCATGAAATGGCAACATGATTGAAAGCCTAGTGATAATAGAGGGAAAATTCTTTTTTTGATAGCTACAATAACTTGATATGTTCTCTTAACCACAGGTGATTTCTGACGTGATCGCCGAGTGAAAATTGTACTGGTGTACTGGTGATACATTATGAACAGAGATATAAATATGAATGGTGAATGAAGAATTTGTATACAAAATGTATAAGAGCAACATTTTTGTTTTATTTAAAGCTCTAGAATATTTAGTTTCATAGACATTTGATAAGATATAAGAGAAAGAGAGAGAAAGGGAGAGAGAGAGATATAGAGAGGGGGGGGGCAACCAATAGTAACCTACTCTTTCGTGTGTTTTTTGTTTTGTTGTTTGTTTGTTTGTTTGCCACTCTCCACTCAGGTGTAAATCTTAACCAGAAAGGGTAAATCACTATTTCTATATTGTTCTGTCTTGATTTCACCTGGGAGATTCACAAACTTATTACTGTGTCTCAGGTTTCTTCGAGAAGACTGACTTTCAGACAACCACTCACGAAAGTTACATTAGAGGGGCCATGGCAAAGTTGCGACAGAGCTATACTCCTTTGTATAGAGAGGCAGTGGCGGATCCAGGGAGGGGGGGGGGGGGCGGCCCCATCCCCCCCTTGGGAAAAAAAACGTGTAAAAACACGTGAATTTTACCTTTTTGGGGAGATATGCCCCCCCCCCGTCGCTCAAGGGGGGGGGGGGTGCAATTTTCACATTTTCAAGGGCCCCCCCCCCAAAAAAAAATGAGATCACCACCCCCCCCCCCCCCAGCCCCACTGAGCGAATTTCCGGCCGGCGCGATTTTCAAATTTTCGGGAGAAAAAAAAAATAGTGCCCACTACCCCCCCCCCCCCAACTGAGCACATTTTCGGGAGCAAAAAAAGAAAACAAATTGGGCCCCCAACCCTAAGAAATCCTGGATCCGCGCCTGTAGAGAGGACACGTTACACAATGTATGTGCCTGGATTTAGTTATCAGGTATAAGCGTAATTAGTAACACATTTTTAGAATATAGATTATTACTAGTGAGCCAGAGTTTGACCCCACCCCTAAAATAGAGAGAGAGAGAGAGAGAGAGAGGGGGGGGGGGGGGCTTTTTTAAAAAGTTTGGTCAACAAACTCACATTCAGCAGGCAATTCTATACTGGAATTACTCTCTTTAAAAAAGAATCGAGTGATCCATCATGAAATGGCAACATGATTGAAAGCCTAGTGATAATAGAGGGAAAATTCTTTTTTTGATAGCTACAATAACTTGATATGTTCTCTTACCCACAAGTGATTTCTGACGTGATCGCCGAGTGAAAATTCAATTTTTGTTTAAAGAGTACATCTGCAAACTAGTTGTCTTTGTTCTTTTAACGATTGAAGTAATGCGTTTTAAAACATAATTTTTAAATAAATCAATGCTTTTCGAGTTAATAAATTCTCATTTAAATAATTGTCACTGTAATGTGCGTTAATGTGTGTTTTCCCTGTTTATAAGCGCAGGCTGTGGTACAGTGGAAAACACTCCGTCCCTCGGATAGGACACTAAATGGAGGCCCCGTGTAGAGTGTGAGGGGAGGGGGGGGGGGCAGTTCCCCCACCACTATTTAAATTATCCAAATATCCTCTTTTTTTTCCTTTTTTTTTTACATCAGCCCCATTTCCTCCCTCATAAGTCCCTCTTTTTACTTCTTGATAAGAACCCCTTCCCCTCCTCATAATATATACCCCTATTAAAATCTGATAAGTGCCCCTTTTCTTTCGACAAGTGACACATTTTTGTGTAATGTTTTCCCCTTATTACCTGGTTAGACAAGTTACCAACTGAAAACGATTTCTTTTAATATAAAGATAAAATGTATACGTAACACCCTATAAGATACAGTCAAATCTTTCTACTATGGCCACCCAAGGGAAACACAGAAAGTGGCCGTTGTGAACAGGTGGCCTTTCTAGGCAGGTTCTACAACAAATATCTGTCTCTCAAAGGAGACAATAATATATTGCCACTATAGACAGGTGGAATTTATAGGGAGGTGAACACTAAGACTAGTTTGACTTAACCGATATAGCATTTTTGTCTTGGTTGTTCAGATAAAAAGAAAAATTACACAAATTTGGCTCGGGCCCTCTATCGGCAGTTTTGAGAGATTTCACTTAGAAAACATGTGTGACTTGTCGTGTGAACACCAAATCCTCGTTTAGAACTTTAAAAATCACCAGTTGAGAAGACTATTATGGCTCGTAAAAAGGTATGAAAGATTTTTAATTGAATAAGTATAAGTTTATGAAATATGGTGATCATTCTCGTTGTATTCATATCAAAATCTGTGGATGAATTATTATGAAAATGTGTGTTGCTTACTGGAACCCGGTCCCATGTGTAGTAAATTGTGTATGTAGTTTGAGAGGGAGGTGCTCATGTCTCCTGCGGCTGCGCGCGCGATCGCGACTTAAGTAGTAAAGCCAAGGTAGGTCTGAAAAATGTTGATGGCCCTCAAGATTAAACAAACAAAAGTTAAGTTGTATATATTTGAATATGAGATTGTGTGCTATGTCATTGTTTGACAGAAGAAAAAGGAGGAAAAAGCTGAAGGCGAAAGGCAAAGCCTTCTCTAGCTTGCGTTTGCTCCTCTCGGCTTGCCTTTTCCATTGCGATTGCTGTTACTTAGTATTCTAAAAGTCTTTTTTCTTTAAACATAATGGGATGTATGGGTTCAATGATTAATTGCATCATACTGCATGGTTTTGAAAATGGATTCTTTGAATATTCCTGATTTGAAATCAATGAAAAACTTGTGATAATTGTTTGATGATGATTCTTTCCTGACCTGCAGAGCAAATCTAAAAAGGCAGCCCAGAGGAAACAAAACCTTGCAGAGAATGACTATGGGAAAGCTCCACATACGTTTGTCTTCAATAGGGGCAGGGTCGGAAAGAACGGCTTGCAGCTTATGCTTGATACGAGGCAAATGATGGAGCCTTACACCGCATCAAGTCTTCGAGTAAGTATTAACCCAGGCCCTTGTCTACAGGGGCCATTTCATTCCACATCACAACGTATGATTATAACTCTTGGTTGTTGTTAATTAAAGCTTTAAAAAAGAGCTCTGAAAAAGACTGAAAAATTGGACACTCTAAATTATGAATAAGGATATGAGGAAATACTTGTTCATTCTATCACTTACCCCTGTAAATATTTTTGCTTACTCTTTCAGAATAATCGGTAAACTGCCTTGCAAGGACAAACTCAAACAACTTCTATTTCCTTTCATGTTTTAAAAGGGGAAAATTGTTATTTTTTATAGCATCTTACTTAAATTACTTGTGTATAAAGAAAAAGTCTACATCGAAGTCTGATATTACATTAAATTAGTTTTGCTGACATCTTGGGCCATAGGCAAATTCTTATTTTTTGATTTCTCATTTTGCCATCTTGTTTTTTCTTTTGTATAGGCCCGTAAGAAGAACACTCTGAAGGACTTTGTTGGAGTAGCTGGTCCTCTTGGTGTTTCTCACTTTCTGTCCTACACAAAGACAGACTCTGCAATTCATATGGTGAGTATTATATTGTCATACATGTACAGGTATCTCTTCATCATCATCATCATCAGCTTGCCATTCAGATTTATTTTCACAACTGATATTACTTATATCTCATGCTGTGTAATGAATAAAAAATTTAACCCACACTTTTGCAATTGGTTCATGCAGCAAAGTGATGACATTACAACACTAAAATTACGCAATTTAGGAAAGATTCTTATCTCAAAAATTGTAGCCATTAGCTTTGTGCAAACGTTTCTAGATTTCCAGTAATTGAATAAACTTGATTTACCGTAGTGCCACCATATCAAAATAATAAATTTCATTTGCTCTTTTTTTTCAAAGGGTGAAGCAGTATTTTGTGCAATGGTAGTAATTATTAATGTTATATATTTTGTTTTCACCTTTAATTTGTTTGGTTTGTATTACAGAGAATAATGAGGCTGCCCAGAGGACCAACCTTGACCTTCAAAGTTCACAAGGTGAGTAAGAGTTATTGGAAATAGCAAAGCTGAAAGATGGATGAACACCCCCCCCCCCCCCCCAAATAAAACAAGCATTTCAGGTCACCCAAATTTTGGTGTTGCATATTATATTTTTGGACAAATAAAGCTTGTCTTTCTGTTTGAAAGTCAACCTGTTATTAGGAGTAACTAAGTTAGATATGCATGTTTTTTAATAATGATGAAGAATGAAAATAATTATGATTGAAAACATATAGGGGATAAATAAATCAGTTAACGAAACCAGTGCTCTGACTTTTATTTTCACACCTGCAGTACACTTTAGCTAAGGATGTTGTATCGTCGCTACGGAAACCCAGCATGTATGCATCTCAGTTCCTGCATCATCCTCTTCTCATCCTCAACAACTTCAACGGGAATGAACTGCGCTTCAAGCTCATGACCACCATGTTCCAGAATATGTTTCCATCTATCAATGTCAACAAGGTGTGTCATTTGTCTTGGAAGGCTCTTAAGTATTTTTAAATTTGTATTTGTTGTTAAAAAAAACTGCTCGACCAAGGGGCCCTGTAGTATGCATGACATTGTAGCTAGGTTCTAGTCAAATGTCTTGATTAGTTCTCAATAACAATTTTTGTTTTGTTAACATAGTTATCATATTTGTATGTTATCCAATTCTAATATCAATTTGTGAATGATAATGTTTTTCAATAAGTTCTGAGTTATCATTTTTCATTAAAACTGAATATTTAAATGGTAGAAAAAAAGCAGCGTAATTTAGCATTCATACCTACTCATATGAAATTAACTTCAGTGTAACTGTGTATTACGTGAGTGTGTGTGTGTGTGTGTGTATTGGGTTTTTACAGACGTGTATCAATCAGATATGATTATTTACGTCTGGGGACCGACCTTTAAGTGTCACCATCCGTTTCGAACCTGCGTCCTCGGCTGAATCAGTTTGTAACTTCAAATGGTAGCTGGATTACAGGTGCACACCACAACAGGAGTGTAATGCTTGTCTGTTCTGGTTTTTATCCTGTTGTTAGATTCATCTGAATGACATCAGAAGGTGTGTTCTGCTCAACTACAATGCAGAGACCGAGCGGATAGAGTTCAGGCACTAGTAAGTTAAATCTCATATTGTACAATAAATAAATAAATGAATGAATGAATGATGAACTCTGTTATAATGCCTTTTCTGTCCTTTTAGCAGATGGCATGTTCGTACAAAAATTGCCTAACATTGATTACTTGTGACTTATCCAGTAAAGGAGTAGATCTTTCAACGATTAAGAAATAAGATATTGGATGTTGTGGAAAATCCAACTTAATATACATACAATCAATATTAAAGAATGCAGAAAAATCAGAGAAGCAGGGTGGTAAAAATTCGAATGAAATCGGACACAAAATAAGAAAGTTATGATTTTGTTAAAGTTCTAGTGGTAATATTACTGTGACGTAGTGCCGAACAACTTTCCCATTTGTTTTAAAACACAAAACAAGACTTAAGTATCAATTTTATCAAACTATATGATCCAGGAGGGTCTTTTTATTTTAGAGGTCATATAATAATATGCTATCCAAGACCAAGAGAAGTAAATGTACAAGGGTACTAGGTAGAAAAAAATCTTTTACATGCATCATGAGCTAGGTGCCTGCAGGAAATAAACCCTGTGCAACGTGAAATTTATAACTGTCATCTGTGCTGTTTATGAATAAGAATTTGTTTTGATTATGTTTGTTTTTTTCTTCACAGTTCCATCAAGGCTGTTCCAATGGGAATGAGCCGAAGCACCAAGAAACTTCTCCAGAGTAAAGTTCCCAATCTAGGACGTTACCAGGATGTCAGTGACTTCTTCCTAAAGTGAGTATACTCTGCCCATCTATTCATTTGTTTCCTCTCTCTATCTTCCTCTGACTCTCTTTCTGCCCTGATGCACAGTAAAGTTCCCAATCTAGGACGTTATCACAATGTCAGTGCCCCTCTGCCCCTCTTCCCTGGTGTGTAATTTGGCCGCCTGCAAAAGAAGCTTATTTCTGCAAACCAATCACTTGTTAGGCTGCACAAAAAATGATTTATGCTAATAAGCATGAAATGATAAATGGAAAGTATTTGTTATCTTTTCATTTTATTTCATTTATTTTCATATTTGTCATGTTACATATACATTTCAAAATATAGTACAAATTTTGTTGGTCTTTTTTTTGTTGTAATAAAATAACAATAATACATAATAAATAACATAAAGATAAGTGGTCCATTAAGAGAACTGATTGAACTGAAAGAAATATGATAGGACCTACATAAAAGCAAGCTTGTAAAGATGTAGGCCCCTGACATCACAGCTGAGGAAATTAATTGCTCTTCTATTAGATATATGATAGATCTAATGAAGTTGACATCATTCCATGTCCGGGAAATTTTCTATTAGTAATATAATGATTATTATGTATCCCCATCTTTCTTTCTTTCTCAAGCACCGGTCAGTTGTCCGAGAGCGAGGCAGAGCTGGACGGAGAACACAATGAAGTGACCCTGCCTCAGAGGCTCGCTAGCCGAGGCAACCTGGACAACCAGAAGAGCGCCATCAGGTTAATAGAGGTGAGACAATGACATCGAAAACCATGCTATTGCCTCAGACACACCAGCAAACCAACACAAGACTGACTCCAAACTGACAGAGTTTTGGTCATAATAATAATAATGATAAAAACGGTGCTTATAAAGCGCCCACCACCTAAATCTCTAAGCGTCATTGGGGGTAATGTAATTGTTTGATCGGTCTGTTTTCAGTCTGGTGTCTGGCTTGTTGGTGTGACTCTGGTATATATCAGTGCTCAAAAACAATAATACAAAAAATGGGACTGTCAAAATGATTTTGTTTTGACAAGAGAGTTTATTATGATTGTGTTCTTTGTAAGAATATAGTTTCGTCTTCACTACTTTACCTCTCGTGCTAGCATAGTTAATTTGAGGCACCCAATTACTGTTATGATGAGTACTCTCTCTGGTGAAATGGCAAATTTTATTTCTGGAATTTTCAATATATTTAATATTATTATTTTGATGATTATTATATAATGTAGTACTCTGTGCACTTTGCAGATAGAATAGAGCATGAAGTATGATGCAAATTTTTCTCCTCTCGTATCCAACTTAAATTATTATGTCTTGCTCCTCTCAGATTGGACCTCGGCTACAGCTTGGCCTCATAAAGATAGAAGAAGGTCTAGGTGAAGGGGAGGTACTCTATCATGAATCCAGTGAGTAAATCAATGTCTTAAAGCCCCACTGCACTACTTGTAGCTACTTGCGCCCTTTATATAGTAAACAATGCCTAAGCGGTACCCGTTGGTCCCCCATGGTCCCCTTTTTCTTTAATGTTAATTGAGAGCTGATTTGATGAGATAATCACCTGTCAGTGACCAGGCTGGGAGGTCTAATCCCTCCTGGCCAAACTAGTACAGACAGGAGATAAGATTATGGTACCATTGTGCAGGCTCACTTTTCAACTTATAATGCATTGTTTATTTTTAGGGCAGGAATATGATGTTTCAAAGCATATGAATATCATTGTGAATAATATCATGTGTAATGTACACAATGTCATCTAATGATTAATCTCCCAATGCTTTATTTTTGTCAGCATACCTCCTTTTATTTCTCATCCTGTGGCTGATGATATTAATCAATCTTCTTTTATACTTTATTCTATAGTAACAAAAACAAAGGAGGAAATTTCAGCAGCCAGAGAGGTGAAATTCAGGAAGAAGTAAGTCATTTTTTTCTCTTTAAAGAAGAAGACATAGTAAAGGAGAATTTTTAATTACAGTTCAATATATTGCATTTGTTTGTGCTAGTCATGAAGAAAATAATGAACTTTTTTCCTCCACAGCTGTTCTTCTAATACAGCAGGAGAGAACATTAGCACATCCATGAACAAGTGGGGATTATGTAATTGAATCGATGTGCGTAATTGTGAAAGAAATGGCATAAATAAATCATGGGAAAATATACTAAAAAGGCACAATGTCCAAGTGGGGATTATGTAATGGAGTTGATGTGCGTAATTCGAAAGATATGGCATAAATAAATCCATGACAATATACTAAAGAGACATTATTTTTTGCATGCATGAACCTTGCATGAATTTTACAAGTGATTCATATTTGTGAAGATTTTTCCTCTTGAAATATTTTTGTGAAAGACTCTTCCTGATACTCATTTTTGTTCTCCCGTTCTTGTTTTCCATCTCTTTCTATCCTTTATTTACCTCCTTTCATCACCTCTTTTTCTTTTCTCTCTGTCTCATTCATCCATTTCTGTAAAATGCTTCTTCTCTATCTCTCGCTCTCCCTATCTCTCGCTCTCCCTATCTCTCTGTTTCTATCTCTCCCTCTCTTTCTCTTTCTGTCTCTGTCTTTCTCTTTCTTGTTCTGTCTGTCTGTCTTTCTCTGTCTTTCTCTCTCTCTCTCTCTGTCTGTCTGTCTGTCTCTCTCTCTCTCTCTCTCTCTCTCATTCTCCCTCCTTATATCTCTCTCTTTCTCCCTATCTCTCTCTCTCTCTCTCTCTCAATACCTTCCCGATTCTAGGATTGCAAAGATCAAGAGGAAAAAGCAGCAAGAGGCAAATGTAGCCAAGAAACAGCAGGAAAATGAGGAAAACAAGTGAGTATGAAAACAAAATCCACATTCTATTTGAAATGTTTACGAAAGTTTTGATGCCAATAGGCTATACCTATAGATGGACTATGCTAAAAATACCTCTTTGTTTGGTGTTTATGTCTCATTGTTGCAGTGTGTCAAGGCTCTTTTTTAAAACACCTTTTTACTGCATTTGTCATTAAACACTCCACCCCAAGAAAAAAGAATTCTGTCTTTTAAGTATATTCTGAAACCAACCTGTACCATTTCTTGCTTTTTATAACTTTTTTAAAAATTTCAAATTGAATTATTTGTCAACACCTCAAACCAAGGTATAATTGAAATAAACCTTTATTTGTCACTTGTTGTATGTAACTTCATTGAACTTTCTCCCACACTTCTTGCTTTTTATAAGTTTTGTTAGTATTGAATTATTTATCAACACCTCACCTCAAGGTTCAATTGAAATGTACCTTTATTTTTCACCTGTAATCATCTTGTTGCATTGTGAGGTCATTGAACTTTCTCCTTCATACCACCAGGACACGTTCCATTCAAGGGATGAAGAGGAAGTACGGGAAGGAGGACGGCGAAGGGAAGAACGAAGGAGAAGATGAAGAGAAGAAGGTGGAGGAGGATGACGATAGGCAGTATTACAGAGACGCAGTGGGAGAGGAACCTGATGCAGGTGAGAGAACGATTCTACTTCAGAATGAAACCAGACACAAAATATGTATCTACATGTTGCTAACTACGGAATTATGTCAATCTAGGCTTAAAGGCACCGTTTAACAATGTTACATCTGAGATGCATGGCCCTACGTGTTATCAGTGTCTGTGATATTGTGTAATATTGAAGCCCTAAAAAAATTGCCCCTCAAAATGATCATGAAGTGCCTCAAAAAAATAAAAATCTTTGAGTGACCGTTTTTAACTTACTAATTTTTCCCAATAGTCTGTAATATTATAAAAACTCTTAGGAAAACAAAAAATGAAATTTTGATTTCCAATCATAAATATCTTGATAATCAGACAGGTGATCTGCTTGTAAAGTTCATTGGATTCCTGACTGATCTAAAGGTTTATAATTATGATTGCAGCATGAAATATATCTAGGATTTTGTTTCAGCATCTGAGTCGATGTTACCGAGTCACTTTAAATGTAAATAGAAGGTTGGGTTCTGGAAGAAGAAAACTTATTTTTTGCATTTTCTTGTTCATTTTATCTCTGTTTGGATGAATATCATGGTAGAAATGTCGTCAAAAAAAGAGTGCTCTTCAAATGCTCCCATATTTGCTATATGACGTAAAATAGCTGAAAAGTTCGGACCAATCTATCATGCCATATAATTTCTGTGTGCAGTGCATGCGCTTTCCATAAAGATGGGGTCAATTTCTCATCATTTTTATAATAACGAAACCTCATTGTATACATAAATTTATGCATCAATCTTTCCACATAACTTAAAACATGATGTACTGCTAATTGTTTCTTCTACTAAAAATCATGTTGGACAGTAATTCTAAGATAAGTTTAGATTAAACCTATAGTGGGTGTTAAGGAAAATGAATGTATATAAATTATATTGTGCAACCAAAAAAATAGAAACGCTGTAACTATAAAAGAGAAGGTTCAGTTCTGGGAAAGGTGAAAAATAATTGTGAGGTTTTTCAATCTTTTATGTTAGTGTGGAAGAGTATCGTAGAACAAATGTAACTCTAAAAAGGATGGCTCGTCAAATGCCCCCATATTCACAATAAGTCCATTAATAGGTAGAGCATGTGGACCATGTTTTCATGCTGCATGTTTGTGTAGTGCGATATACACATTTCTATGTACAGCTCATTTGACTTTTAGCAATTTCTTAAAATTTTGATGATTCTAAAACTTAAAGGTAATACAAAGTTTGGGTATGGGGTCATGAATTTGGTTCCATTGAACATATTGGAAGCATATGCGATCCCACCACCATCAGTGATCGTTGTCGGGATTGAAATCGGGTCAAAAGTTATGAAATTGTAAATAAAAAACTATTTATGTTGTATAGCTCCCTCTCAAGGTCAAGATATTAATTAAGCTATAAAACAATGTTTATTGACTAAAATAGACCCAACTAGCTATTCCCATTTGGAAAATATATATCACAACTACACATTATGAGATGTTCATGGTCGCAACTACTATTGTGGGCCGTAGGCGCTATTTGAAATTTATCAAGATTTACCGGGAGCAACGGTAAATTTTTATATTCAATATTTCTCGAAAGCAGAAGTGTTCTAGGGGCTAAATTTTTAAGTGCTTATAATACATCCACAGGGGAATCCAAATATATCAAAATTGTAAAGAATCACTATCCACCAAATTTTCAAAATTTCCCAAAACTTTGTATTACCTTTAATAGTGTACACAACTATTTACATGTATGTCCTACATGATCATTCTATTCCAATCTCTTCTACACATTTTCCTTAACAATGCAATCGTGTGATCAGATCTCAACTTTATCTTTAATGGTAGTTTATGATTAAAAAGTTGCATTTTATATTTATCAATATTTTCTTTGAAAGCAGTTGTCCTGTGCTGATCCACCCGGGGCTTTCCCTAAAAAGAGAATCCATACTAATTTTATTAACCCACTGCTTTCAGAAACCAGGTAGATCGTGTATTAAACCCTGGGGACTGAAATAATTCAGGAGTCAATGCGTCTATCGATATAAACATCTTGGGAGATTATTTTCTTTGTATTCTATTCCTTAGGTCTGTTTCCGAAAAAGAGATCAAAATCTTCTGAGGGCACCAGAGGCAGAGGCAGGGGCACCAGAGGCAGGGGCGAGAGCAGAGGCAGGGGCGACAACAAGCGGCAGAAATTTGGATCTCAAGATCGTAGCAGAGGAGGATCAGGGGAACGAGGAGGAGGAGGGGGAAGAGGAAGAGGAGGGAGAGGAGGAGGAGGAGGAAGAATGGAAGATAGAAGAGGAGGTGGAAGAGGAAGGGGCGGAGGAAGAGGCGGAGGAAGAGGAAGAGGAAGAGGAAGCGGAAGAGGAGGTGAAAATGGATCCAGTAGTGGAAGCCAATCCTTCAAGCCCAAATTTAGTTCTAGAACTCAAGCCGGCAGATCCAGAGGTGGAAGAGGGCAAAAAAGGTCATTCTCCAAGCACTAAATTTAGACCAAAGCCGATCAAGAATATGAACCCTAGGAACACTTGACCTTACACTGGACCTGGTCTAGGCTTTGGGCCTAGTTGCTGATGTCTTCCCCGAAGAGATACATGTATGTTGTGTGGGCTCAAAGAGAAGGATGGGTTCTGGTAAAGGCGAAAAATTATTTGCAAGCTTTTTTCATTCTGTAATTATACCAGGGATGCCAGTTTTCAGGCAATAGCCTGAATTCAGGCACTGGCAAGTTATGAGCTATTTTGTACACAATAGCTCATTTCCAGGTGATTTTCAGGCCCTATGATAAATTTTAACTGTCATCCCTGTTATAATACTAACAAAGAATAATGGAAAATAGTCTTAATTTTATTAACACTGACTAAGAACATTGAATACATGTATGTGACACATTGTATAGCAATGGTCATGAGCACCCAATAGAGGCGGACTCCGGAGCTATACCAGAAGCCATCATATGTTTTTTCAGCTTTGAAAAAAGTCCCCTGAAAAGAGGATTGCCCTTCAAATGCCCTCATTTTCAAAATATGACAAGAATTAACTTTTAAGCCATATAGGCCCGAATTCACAAAGCAAGGTTTGAGCTCAGACCAAGGTTTGAGCTCAAACCTCCTTTTGTTCCGCCAAACCTCCTTTTCTTATTTACAAACCAGGTTTGTAAATAACAAAAGGAGGTTTGGCGAAACAAAAGGAGGTTTGAGCTCAAACCTTGGTCTGAGCTCAAACCTTGCTTTGTGAATTCGGGCCATTTAGTTTGAAACCATTTTTACTCATTTCTGTTCTCAGGGCATGTACCGAGTTGGTTTCTCATTAATTTCATGATTCTGAAATTTCTCGGTATTCACCAGCCCCTGTGTACTACATAAAGCATCTTTACAAATTGCTTTCTTTCAAAATCTTAATCTATGACATCTTTCACATGTTGAATACTTCACAAACGTGCAGGACAACTCGGGCTTGGACCTATGGAAAATACATGTATGTGTTTTACCAAATCAAAAAATATCTAGCTGATTAAATGATAATTGAGTTACTTTGACTGAATAAGGCCTCACCAAGAAGTCAGGCAGTACATGTATTATATTTCTTCATGCATTGTAGGAGTGCATTTAGATGACTTAAAGCCCCACTGCACTACTTGTAGCTACTTGCCCCCTCTATATAGAAACATTGCCTAAGCAGTGCCCATTGGCCCCCCATGATCCTCTTTTTCTTATGTTAATTGAGAGCTGAGTTCACCTGTCAGTGACCTTGCTGTGTGGTCTCATCCCTCCTGGCCAAACTAGATGGGCTTTAATGAGTTCAATTCCCTTTTCCTTTATTATTTTGTCTGACACACATTAGTTTTGTACCTTCCTTAAAACCTCATTTGTATTTTCCCGTTCTGATTTATGGATCACATAATGAATATTTGTAATCTTAATTGTAAATTGTATTGTTATATATCATTCTGTTGTGAAATATCCCTCCTTATTCTTTAACTAGCGTAAGAATAATTTTTGTAAAATTGATTGATGAAATCATGAGTCCATAAATTCAATTTAATTCAAACGACCTGATTCCACAACAAATTTGCCGAGATTCTATAACACTTAAGGTCTCAGCCAGTCAACTGCAGTGATTTCAGTAGCTTCTAACAGTTATTGTAACTTAGTATTAAGAACAAGTTTCATGAATCGATGCCCAGATCTCAGAGAGGTACATTTAAAACAGTTTCAGAGTCTAAGCTGCTAGTATTATCATTGTCTCTGCCTGCACCATCGGGCCACTATCCGTCAGAGTCGTTTAAAGACAGAGTTTGCCCATCTGGTTGCTATTGGTCAGAGCTATTAAAAGACAGAGTTTGGCCAAAGCTTATGATTTTACGGCCTTTCTTTTATTCCGTGCCAATGATGAGGAATTTGGAAGAAAAAAACGCTCGGTTGAGTCGGCCTAATATTATAAATACCGCTCTTTTGGGCAAGCACATAACAAAAGAATATATGCCATGTTGTGCCCTACTCGAAACGGATTGGCCAAACTCTCCTTCAAATGGCACTGCTTTCAGTATGAGTATAGCGCCCTCTTTAGACCATTTTGAGTTGTTCAGAGTGTATGTCTATATCTATGTAACCAATCATGTTTAGGTATGTCTACTACTATTATTATTATTATTATTAAATATTTGGTGTCATCTGTGCCTGGGAGGCGAAGCGCGAACTGAATCGCTGTAACCCTCGGGTCTCTCCTCCCGATACAACTGATTGGGGGTGTGCAGGTGGACCACTACACCGGAGTTTCCCCTACTCTTATACAAATAGTGCAGTTGGTTTTTAACATGCAAAGGTGCTGATTTTCCCTTACACGTTGCCTTCATCCTACATTGGTTATTGATTGTATTTATGATTTACATTTGGCCTTAAAATGATTTGTCATATTCAATTTTTTTTTTCCCCTGTATTTTTCTTGCACCTTCCTCTTGAAGTTTGCAAGCTTTCAGAATTCAGTGTCTCATATTTGCTCTGTATCACAAGTTATAGGCAAGTCAAGAGTATTGTTGAAGTATCATATTTTAATAAAGATTATTAAAGAAAACAAGTAAGATGTGTCCTTTCATTCAATTTGTTAAATATCTAAATTGAAAATAATCAGAATAGCTACCAAGTTTATTCAATAGTATATCATGGGCAGTGGAAGGTAGCTGCAGAGAGAGAGAGAGAGAGAGATGACTCGCGCTATAAGCGCTATAGAAATATAATGTATTATTATTATTATTATTATAATTCATATTGGTGATTCATTGACATATTAAGGTATATTACTGACGAATTATTTTCTCTGAATAAGATATTTGCTTATCCATGTAAACAACATGGGGTAAAAATGACAAAATTAACATGTGCATCTGTATGATATTCTTGTTTAATGATGAAGACGAAGAATGGGAAACAATTAGGATTGAGCTCTGGTTGTCAACTGTTGTCTCAATAATAAAATATGTATCACATCAAAGAAAAAATGAATACTCTACCAACATCAATAGAACATTTTCGTAATTTAATCAAATTTAATGCACAAATCTTTGTTAAAGGTAATACAAAGTTTTGGTACAGGGTCATGAATTTGGTTCAAATGAACATATTGGAAGCATATGCGATCCTAAAATATTCAGTGATCGTTGTCGCGGTTGAAATCGAGTCTAAAGTTATGAAATTGTAAATAATAAACTATATATGTTGTATAGCTGCCTCTCAAGGTCAAGATATTAATTAAGCTATAAAACATTGTTTCTTGGCTATAATCGACCGATTAGCTATTCCCGTTTGGAAATTATATATCACAACTACATTTTCTGAGATTTTCATGGTCGCAGCTACCATTGTACGGTCATAGGCGCTATTTGAAATTTTTCAAAATTTACCGGGAGCACCGGTAAATTTGTATATTCCATTTTTCTCGAAAGCAGAAGTGTTTTAGGGGCTAAATTTTTTAGTGCTTATAATACATCCACGGGGGCATCCAAATATATCAAAATTGTAAAGAATCACTCTCCACCCAATGTTCAAAATTTCCCAAAACTTTGTATTACCTTTAAAGGTGTCCCATTTGCAGGCCAAAAAAATGAAAAGGTTAAATTCCAACGGCATATGAAAAATTATACAAAATTAGAACTTCCCTCACAGTGAGCACATTTTTTTTTTTTTTTGGTCCTCAAAAATGTTAAAATTTGAACCCCCCCCCCCCTTGAGCGCCAGGGGGGAGGGGGGGGCCCAACCCCCAAAAAGGTAAAAATCGCGTGATTTTACATGATTTTTTTTCTCAAGGGGGGGGGGGGGGGGCCCGGGCCCCCCGGGCCCCCCCTGGATCCGCCACTGGTATATTATTACCGAAGAAAAACAGAAGCCAGTCAGTCACTCGACAGTTTCTGACAGTGAAGTCTAGAAAGCAGGCCTGTATAACAAAAATAAAAAAAACTGTTTTTTATGTAAAATATGGAATAAATAAAACTTCAATAATTACCCGATTTAAATCGGTTTCCCGATTTATTTTTTTCCCCGATTTTCTTTCTTCCCAATTTTTTTTCTCTTCCCCGATTTTTGCTAACGTTTAAATTTCACAAATAGGACATACGTAACATATTCATAATTCCTGCAAAGTTCTACATACTTTGATGTTGGCTGCAAAATGGATACACTACCTTTAAGTGCCATGTTAAAAATTATTTAATTCACCTGTTTTAATTATATTTTAATGATAAAAATGCAAATTGCATACATAAATTGTTGCTAGAAAGGACAAACATTATGGCTTGTCCTACCCCTTAATACGGAATACTGTTTATGCAATTCGCATTCAGACTATTTGATTTTGATTCGATTTTGTTTTATTTCTGTATTTTTTCCAAATATAATAACTGAATAACAAAGAACAGATAAACGTAAGGTATAATACAAAGTATACAAACAAAATCTTCATGTCAAAATGAGGGGCGGCGATTTCTTTTCATGACCGGGGGGGGGGAAGAAATGCAAGAGACGAGGAAGCAGTGGCGTAATGAGCAAAAACGTTTGGTGGGGGCACAAATAAATAATTATCACCCCCTCTCTTACAGGTTACATGCAGGCCCCGCGAAACGTTTTTCAAAATGGGAGGGGGGGGGGGGGTTAAAGTATTTACGATCAGGTAGAGCAAAGCGAGCGAAGCAAGTGGAGCTGAATTAGCGTGAGGTCCAGGGGCAAAGCCCCATGAAGCTTAGGGGTTTAGACATTTAATAACGGTCAGAT